AACGAATAGTGGGATTATAACGCCCCCACGGCTGAAAGGGAGAGCATGTTTGATGGGACGGGGATTCGAACCCGCGACCCTCAGATTGCGAGTCGAGCGCCCTAACCACCTGGCCATGCCGGGCCCTAGAGTTTAGCATCATGATATAAGAACATATAGATATAATAAGATGTAATGAGTGAAGCTGAGAGGATGTGAAGTACATTATTCTGATAAGTTCGATACAACCTTAGTTTTCAAAGAACTGAATAATCAATGTCTATATGTTTGTAAGTATTAAAATACTTTTGTAGAATTTAATAGATGTATCGCAATATTATGAAATCAACACTCGTATGATAAAATGAAAGAACACAAATTTAATCTGATCTAATTCAGTAACACTCTAAATATAAGCAGAAGAAAGACAGTTTGCACCATTTATAACACTAATTTCACATGACCAACTACGTAGTGTACATCAAAACGCATTCTTCACAGTCTATGGCCTACTATCTCTTTGATGACTTAAAGTATATTAGATGATTTTAAAATGATTAGAGGCTTAATATGGTTCCTGTGTTCGATTTTAGGATATAACTAATTTTAAATGGCATAGCTGAAATATTCGAGTTTCAAATGTGGCAAATTATGAACCGAACAGAAAAAACAGGTTTTATTGTACGTCATAGTAAAGAAATTCATGTCAGTATATGAGCTACAATGCTGTTTCTTAATTACTGGCTATAAATGTCTTCAGTCCATTTGATGGATTATTTCTAGCGTTTTATTTCTATACTGTAACAATTATCCATATTTTACACTTTAGAAGATATCTTTATGGGTTTTTAGCACCTCTTGCAGTAAAAACACGTTTTACAACAAAACATTTGGCGACTGATTTATAATGATTTATAAAAACGTTTTTTTTCAACGCTCAGTCATTGCAGTTTAAATCAAAGAAATGATACTAGAAATATTAACATAATTAGATAAATATTACTTTTCCAAAGTTATAACTATTATACTTCGGGATTCGTGAATATTAAGCTTTTCAAAATAAATGTCTTTCATTATTTACCCATCTTTTGCCAGTCTTTTCAAGGTTTAAGATATTATATTAGAATGTAATGGATAAAGAGAAAAAACAATTTTTCATTTAAAGAAAAACAAGAAATGTCTTACATTAGTAACTGCAGATCTTTTTTATACTTATTTTTCATACATTCGATGATTGCTATTAAACTCTCCAATTATATTCTCCGTTTATCGCAAAGTTGCAGTATGGTGATTTGCGCATGGCCGTCCCTCGTTTTGAACTGATAGAACTAGAGAAAAGGCAACTATTGTGCTGCCTCTCTCTGATCTAATTGGATGATTTGACCTTTGTTCTTATAGCGCACTCACTGTCCGAAAGAGTGGAGCTCGTTTTTACTGCAACGGGTCTTTGAACAATGAACCCTCAGATTCACAGTCTGAGCACGCTAAGCAATAGGTCATGTTGTTACTGTCAACGCACATATTTCCATATGGAGTGCTCATCTATAGTAAAATAGCCTTTGAAATAGATGTATTGTTTAAACACATACTGTATAACCACTAAACGAAACTATTCATTCGCTTTGAGCATTAATTTTGTTTTTTAAATATTTACACACTCAATTCCATGTGAAGGTTGCAATATGAGAAATAACAAAAATTTTGTAATCTTTTCTCTTTGTTAACATCTTGCTAAGGTCAAAATTAGTTGTATATTCATCACTTTTAGAATGTTTTTAGAAGTGGCACAATTTGAGCGTCCACTTGTGTTAGCAATCATCAATAAGTTGTTTTTGTTTGTTATTAAGCACAAAGCTACACAAAGGGCTATCTGTGCTCTGCCCACTACGGGTATCGAAACCCGGTTTCTAGCAGTATAAGTCCGCAGACATACCACTGTGCCACTGGGGGGCTCACCAATAAGAAAAATACAAAATGTTAGATGTTTGAACTATGTTCTTTATAAGGATAAATAAAACATCCAAGTAAGTTTACTCTAAACCCACGTATTGATCGATAATTTTTATATTGAGCAGATTTTTTTACGATAAATCAGCTATCAGAATTTCGGTAAAATACTATCAAATATCCAATCATGTTACTAAATTTCAGAGTTTCAAACCTCCCGCATTTTAAATTGTTCCTGCACTCATGAGATGATGTAGATTATTTTCATACGAAACCTATTTGCCACATAGAACTATTAAATATTACAGAAAATGAAGTACTTTGATTAGGATAGCTAGAAAATAAGAGACCTACTACAGATTAAGTTGTGATTCGATTCGATTTTTTGTTTTTTCAATCTTTCCGTAGTTAGAATAATATGTGAAATATCACAATAATTATCCAAATACTTGGGCGTAATTATTAACAATTTCGTATTATCACTTTAATGTTTATTTCTTGTTTTAAGATGATGTTAATTTCAACGTAAACTAGACTTACCACGTAGCTTTAAGAGGTCCGCTGTCCAGGACAACACGAATGACGTAGAGGACGCACAGTACAATTTTGATTACTAAATTGAAGATCCGTATTCTCAGACCTGTAATTTACGTAGAATCATTTAATTAAAAAAATATTAGATGGCACCATAAGCCGTTTTCTTATGTTCTAGTCCACAAGGTGGCTCAAAAGGTAGTTACGTCAGACCTGTAATTTACGTAGAATCATTTAATTAATAAAAGTATTACATGGCACCATAAGCCGTTTTCTTATGTTCTAGTCCACAAGGTGGTTCAAAAGCTAGTTACGTCAGACCTGTAATTTACTTAGAATCATTTAATTAATAAAAATATTACATGGCACCATAAGTTTGTTTGTTTGCTTGTTTAAAGTTAAGCACAAAGCTACACAATGGGCTATCTGTGCTCCGCGCACCACACGAACCTAAACCCGGTTTTTAGCGTTGTAAGTCCGCAGATATACCGCTGTGCCACTGAGGAGGGGGCAGCACCATAAGCCGTTTTCTTGTGTTCCAGTCCACAAGGTGGTCCGAAAGCTAGT